GAGGGGCGGTGGGGGCCAGGTGCGGGCGGGCAGGCGCGTCCTCCCTGCCGAGCTGAGAAGGGAGGAAGGGAGAGAGGGCGGGAGGGAGGGCGGGAGGGAGGGCGGGAGGGAGGGCGGGAGGGAGGGAGGGAGGGAGGGAGGAGGAGGAGGAGGAGGAGGAGGAGGAGGAGGAGGAGGGATGAGGGGTGAGCAGGAGGAGGTGAGGGGCGAGTGGTGAGGGGGGAGAGGAGGATAAAGAGGAGGTGGAGGAAACACAGGAGGCGGAGGACGAGGAGGACGAAGAGGACAGGGATGATGATGATGATGACGATGCTGAGGAGGAGGAAGAGGAGGAGGAGGAGAGGGAGGCGGAGGAGGAGGAAAACATGGAGGAGGAAGAGGGGGGCACGCTCGCGGCAGAGGAAGAGGAGGAACACAGGGAGGAGGACGAGGAGGAATACAGGGAGGAGGAAGAATACAGGGCGCGCTCGCGGCACGCCGTTGGGACTTGCCGGTGCGCACGGCGGGTGCGCACGGCGGAAGAAGTCGGGCATTCGGTCTCTACGTCCTCCTGCGCCAGACGGCGGCGGCCGTCGGCGTGGCCATCTGGCGGTGGGCCGCCGCCGCCGCGGCGCCAGCTCCCGAGGAGGAGCGCCCGCTCTTCGACGACGCAGCGCCAGCGCGGGCCTCAGAACAGCAGATGCTGCTGTCCTGGTGGAGCAAGGGATCACTTTGTCCCTACCCCTCGGACCGGCAAGCGCCCACGAAGGTGCCGGCGCGACGCTGCCCTGTCCTTCGGCATCTGCGGCGCCGAGGCTCTTCCTCCTGCTCCTCCTCCTTCTCCTCCTCCTCCTCCTCTTCCCCATTACCACCACCACCACCATCATCACCATCACCATCACCACCAGCATCACCATCACCATCACCACCATCATCGTCATCATCATAATCAGCATCCGCATCACCATCATTATCTTCATCATCAGCAGCAGCAGCATCATCATCATCATCAGTGACCGCCGCGAGCATAATCGTACTCATCAGCGTCGTCATCATCCTCATCATCATCATCATCATCATCATCATCACCATCATCATCATCATCATGATCATGATCACCATCATCATCATCATCATCATCATAACACCACCGCCATCATAATCATCATCAGCATCACCATCATCATGATCGTCATCATCATCATCATCATCATCGCCAGCATCACCATCAACACCATCATCACCATCAACACCACTACAAGCGCCATCGTCAACATCAGCATCCCAATCAGTTCTCTTATCGCCAGCACAATCCTCAGCATCAGCATCCTCATCATTAACAGCACCATCATCCTCGGCAGCAGCATCGTTATCGTTGTCAAGGTCGGCGTTATCATCTTCAGCAGCACCATCATCATCACCGTCACCACCTTCCTCTGCAGTATCATCATCATCATCATCATCATCATCATCATCACCATCATCATCATCATCAGCATTATCACCAGCATTCGCATCAGCACAGTCACCATCGTTATCGCCACCAGCATCATCACCATCATCACCATCATCATCGTTATCACCATCATCATCATCATTACCACGATCATTATCACTGCCATCGCCATCTTCACCATCATCAGCACCATCCGTCATCATCATCATCATCATCATCATCGTGGTCATCACCATCATCATCATGAACACCACCGCCATCACCATCATCATCATCATCATCATCATCATCATCATCATCATCATCACCATCGTCATCATCATCATCATCATTACCATCGTCATCATCATCATCATTACCATCGTTATCATCATCATCATCACCATCGTCGTCATCATCATCATCATCACCATCGTCATCATCATCATCACCATCGTCATCATCATCATCATTACCATCGTCATCATCATCATCATCACTGTCATCATCATCATCACCATTATCATCATCATCATAATCATCATCACCATCGTCATCATCATCATCATCATCACCATCGTCATCATCATCATCATCACCATCGTCATCATCATCATCATCATTACCATCGTCATCATCATCATCATCATCATCACTATCATCATCATCACCATCATCATCATCATCACCATCATCATCATCACCATCGTCATCATCATCATCATTATCCTCAACATCATCATCATCATCACCACCACATCATCATCATCATATCACCATCGTCATCATCATCCATCGTCATCATCATCACATCATCATCATCAACATCATCATCATCATCATCACCATCGTCATCATCATCATCATCATCACCATCGTCATCATCATCATCATCATCACCATCGTCATCATCATCATCATCATTACCATCGTCATCATCATCATCACCACCACCATCATCATCATCATCACCATCATCATCATCATCATCATCGCCATCATCATCATCACCATCGTCATCATCATCATCATCATCATTATCCTCAACATCATCATCATCATCATCATCACCATCGTCATCATCATCATCATCATCATCATCATCATCATCGTCATCATCATGATCGTCATCATCGTCATCATCACCATCGTCATCATCATCATCATCAGCAGCAGCAGCGTCATCATCATCGTCATCATCATCGTTTTCGTCTTGAGGCTGCCCGCCGCGACCCACCCGCCGACCGCCGCGGCGGACCCTCCGCCCGCCGTGCTCCACCCGCCGCCCGCCGCCGCGGCGGCCGGGTGCGAGCCAAGAGGATCCTTGGGTCACCGTCTCCTGGGCGGCCGCAGCCGGAGGCCCCGCCCGCGGAGGCGAGGGCCGCGCGGGGCAGGCAGGAGAGCTGGGCCAGCCCATGGGCCAGGGCCCTGCGCCCCACTCGCGGGAAGGCCACCCGAGAGGTGTGTGTGTGTGTGTGTGTGTTTGGGAGGCAGCCTCGGGGCGCCCGTGAGGGAGCAGGAGGAGGAGGAGGGGGAGGAGGAGGAGGAGGAGGAGGAGGAGGAGGAGGAGGAGGAGGAGGAGGAGGCGGTCTGCTGGGCCCCGCGACCAGCCGCACGAGCGAGGCGACGCGAGGCCCCCCTTGGCGGGCAACGCCGGGCCCGCTGTCGGAGGAGGCCCGCCGTGCAGCCCCCGTCGGGGGGAGGGGCGCGAGCGCGGGCCGCCCGAGGGTCCGCCCCCGCGCGGCGGCGCTGCCGCGCGGCGTGGGCTGCGAGCCCCCCCGGAGATTCAAAGTGTTGGAAAAAATCGATCCAAAGTATCGCAAGTCCATCCCCGAGAGATCCAAAGTATCGCAAAAAAAACACGACGGGGGTCTTTCTAAGATTTTGGCCCCCAGGGGCCCTCGCCGGGCCTCGGGACCGTCAAAAAACGGCTCAGGATACAAAGCCGGTCCTGGGGAACGGGTCGAGGCTTCCAGGGACCCCGTATCGAGTAGATCACGACGTCGGATTTCTGGGCTTGTGCGGGTGGCCTCTCCCTTCGAGAGGCCGGTTGGCTGGTTGGCAGGCCTGCTTGGCGCGGCTGGGAATAAACAAAAAAGTGGCATGAACATAAAAATTGTCGGAGGTCCGCGCGGATGTCTCGGATCGGCGCTGGACCCCCCTCCTTGTCGCGCGGAGCGCGCCAGGGGCGGCGCCGGAGGCGCTGCCGGGGGCCCCAGCGCCCATCCGAGAAGTCCGCGCGAACCTTCGAGTTTTTAGACCTTTCGCCAGAGTGACCTTTGGTGCGGGCACAATTGGGTCCCCCGATCACCGATTGCGATGCGATAGTAGCGTCTTGTGCGCCTGAGTTTGGTCCCCGCGCGGCCCCCAAAAAGCCGCGCACTCAAGGTCACTCTTACCCAGGGTCACTCTTGCGCGTAGCCGATTGGCGCGGCTGGGAAGGCTCGGCCGACGGCATCGTGGGTGTCATCGGGGATCCGTCCTTGGGTCTGTGGGTGCTCCATCACTACGTTGAGGTCGGGCCTGTCCCTCTGCAGGAGGAATAGCCAGAAATAGTGCAAACATAGCCTGGGGACGTTTTTCTTGTGTGCGTGATTCGTTTAGGAAATTTTTGAATATGTTTTTGATTATTTCCCCAAACAGCTTGCTGAACGGGGTGCTGTTGTGATAGAAAGAAGCAAACTCCAGCCGAGGGAATTCAAAGCAGAGACGTCCTCAAAGAAATGTGGTGGTCCGGGCCGTTCCGCCTGAGACATCCTCGCAACTCTCCTGTCTGAGTTGTCCGGGATTGGGCGTTTCGCGTGAGACATACTCCAAACTCTGAGTTCCCAGAAGCCGCGCAAGAGGTGGTCCGGCCCGTTTCGCCTGAGACATCCTCGAAACTCTGAGCTCCCAGATGCCGCGCGAGAGGTGGTCCGGCCCGTCTCGCGTGAGACATCCTCCAAACTCTGAGCTCTGAGATGCCGTGCGCAAGGTGGTCCGGCCCGTATCGCCTGAGACATTCTCCAAACTCTGAGTTCTGAGATGCCGTGCGCAAGGTGGTCGGGCGCGTTTCGCCTAAGACATCCTCGCAACTCTGAGCTCCGAGATGCCGCGCAAGAGGTGGTCTGGCCCGTTTCGCCTGAGACATCCTCCAAACTCGAAGCCCTGATATGGCGTGCGCGAGGTGGTCTGGCCCGTTTTGCCTGAGACGTCCTCGCAACTCTGCGTTACCTAATGCCTCGCGAGAGGTGGTCTGGCCCGTTTCGCTTGAGACATCCTCCAAACTCTGAGCCCCGAGATGCCGCCCAAGAGGTGGTCCTGCGTTTCACTTGAGACATCCTCGCACTTCTGCATTCCGAGATGCCGCGCGAGAGGTGGTCGTTTCGTCTGAGACGTCCTTGCAATTCTGAGCTCTGAGATGCCGCGAACGAGGTGGTCTGGCCCGTTTCGCCTGAGACATCCTCGAAACTCTGAGCTCTGAGCTGCCGCGCAAGAGGTGGTCCAGCCCGTATCGCCTGAGACATCCTCGCAACTCTGACCTCGGAGATGCCGCGCGCGACGTGGTCCAGCCCGTTTCGCCTGAGGCATCCTCGCAACTCTGAGC